CACACTATGTCCATCGACGCCACCAGTGATACGACCACCTCGCCGGAAAATTCCACGACTCCTAACAAGCCCCACATCACGTGGCAAGATTCATACAGCGATGCCCACATAGCCATCGAAGCTCTCTCCTCAATCCTCCAATCAATTCCACCTTCTCTTTCTAAATCAGAAACCCCTGCTTACTCTCTCCTCCATGACCCCGAAACAGCCGACCAAATCTCGCGGCGGCTCCGCCAACCTGATTCCGGCGCAGGTGATGACGACCTGTGTCGCTGGCTGTACGATACATTCCAGACCTCCCAACCTGATCTCCAATTAGTAGTCCTCAGATTTCTTCCAATCATGGCCGGTGCTTATCTCTCGCGTGTCACCCTCCATAAGCCTCTCGCCGGTTTTGAAGCCGTCCTTTTGGCTCTCTACGCCCATGAAACCACCTCCCGCGACGGCCATTCTGTGACTGTGAGTATTCCTGATCTCTCCCACTCCAGCATTTACCATGAAACCAAACAAACATCCAAAAACACCGCAACAGAATTGAATTTGGCTGTGATTTCTCCAAGTTTAGAGCCCCATGGCACTGTTCGGTCTACTCGGAGAGCCAGAATTGTCGGCGTCGCATTAGAATTATACTACAGCAAGATTTCGAACATCCCAGCGGGTTCTAAGATTGATTTATGTGAATTTTGCAGAATATGGTCTGGCCACGATGGGACAGAACTCGAATCCCCCGGTTCATCAGAAGGGAAAGAAATTGAAGGTGAAAATTTAGAAAATAAAAATAAAGTGAAAAAGGGTAGGATTAGTCTGCCATGGGAGCTTCTGCAACCAGTTTTACGGATTTTAGGACACTGTCTAATGAGTCCTGAGAAGGATAAGGAATTGTATGAAGCTGCATGTGCTGCAAGTAGGTCTTTGCATGCAAGATCATTGCATGATATAAATTCCAAGGCAATTTTGGCAACTGGAAGTCTTCTTAAGCTCGTGAAGTTGGCTGCAGAACCCAATGATGGTATTGATCATACTGAGATAACACTGTCTAATGTCATCACAATTTGAAGGCTCGGCTTCTTGAAGAATGAGTCTTTCTCTACCGAATCCAGGAACTAGGATTCTATAATCTAGTGGTTAGCTTTCACCGGCCCACTGAAGCTACCTTTAGAATGGAGAAACGTTAATCCCTTGAAATTTCATTCTTTTATTCGACGTTTTTTTAATTATTGTTGTGATGCAGGGTTTTGTGAAGCTAAAATATGTAGATCTGGATCTGTGCAATATATACGTAATAAAGTAATTAACTGTTAGGCTATGTAATGCATGAAAAATGTAGTTAAAACAAAACAATAAGCAGGTAGCATGTTCCTTTATGTCGAGATATGAGGTACAG